TATTAATATTATTAAATAAATTTTGTTACTTATATAGTTTTGTTTATCATTTCATTAGCAAATGTTGAGCTAACATTGAGTAAATTAAATTGAATATAGAAATTAAATGAATTGAAATAAAATTCAAGTTTAGTTCAGGAAGTAAATGAAATTCAAATTTAAAGCAAATATAATTCGAAAGTGATTCAAATTGCATTTAATCCGTAACGACCCTAAAAAATTTACGTTATATTTCATGTAAGACTTCCGAATGAAACGATATAAATTATATTGAAAAATTTATCGTGTAAAAATAATAATTAATTGAATTTTTTAAAAGAAAAAACGAGTTAGACGTCTTTTTTGAGGCGTACGTTTGATACATATTTAACTATTTTCGATATCCGTTTGGAGCATTCGATATGAAAACGATGTAGTTTTTGAAACAAACTTTTACATGGCATAGACGATTTGTGGATTCAAATAGCACAAGATTGCAAACGAATTTTTAAAGTTAGGATATTATCAAAAATCTCAAAATACTAATTTCAAACGCCCTACTTTAACATGTCATAACTTTTGCTATAGTTGACCACTTTGCATGCCATTAATGAGTGAAAAATTAGGCCATGAGCACTTCAAAATGATATTGAGAATGCAATATTTTGACTTAATTTGACATCCCGAAAAGTGCATCAAAGTAGATTGTAAAAAAGAAAAGTGCAAAATTTTGTGGGGTCATTTGACCCCACATGACCCCATGTGGGTCCGCCCCTGGACTGGAATAAGATATGTCGTCTACTGTTAACGAATTTATCTTTGAAGTTTAAACAGCTCCTCAACCACGAGAAAAATCGTGTATATGGAAGGACAGAGGAAATATGAATAGCAACAGTAACAAATTAATGCTGCTCAAATTGATACAAATTGATTATGCTTAAAAAACGTCAGAATTGATTGGCAAATGTGATGTGTATATATAAAACAATTTACATGTCCTCAAATTAATTTTGGCATATGTGATAGATGATTATACTTATAAAACTATTACTATAATCACTAGATTTTGAAAAATTAAGCTTTCATATTGATAACGTGTTATGAAAATAGAGAAAACGAGAAAAGAGAATAAAAATCAAATAGACTTGTGTGTATTTTATTAAGAACCAAAACACTATATTTATAGGAAGAATTAGGGATACAACAGTAATAATTTCTAGGGCAGTATGAATACAATTGTCATTCGGTAATAGATTTTCCATTTACAACAATATGTAATATCTTACAAAGGTATATGTCAATGATCCTCAATAGTATCGCTTTTAAATTTCGCCTGAATAACTAACATATCTTGATTTCAATCAAAATCACCAATAGTCAAAATGTCGGTGATCATCCAGGAAATTTATGTAAGACAGCCATGCAAAAGGCAAGGGTGTCTCATGCCAAAGACGTGGAGTTCCTTTCAATTTTACCAACGTTGATGCGATCACCAACTTGTAAATACCAATTGTGGCATTAGTATTTGCTAAAATAAAAATTGTTGCTTTCACTCACTTAAAAGTATAAAATGAAGTTTCGGTATGAGGAAGATACATGCTTGTGGAATGAAAATGACATGACAGTGAAATACAAAATTGCACTCAACAGTAGAAGATCAAAGAGAGTGGTGCTTAATCATGACATTAGGCAAGTTATCTTCAGTAACGTGCATGTAAAAATTATATCACATTACAATGAATCAAAACTAATGCAACAATGTTTATACAAAAACTTATCCAAAACTAGTCAATTCTTGCATATTCATAATTTCTTTCATTTTTCTTCTCTTTTCTCAAAGAATTATGCTATATGTACACTCTTTTTGACATCATCTTTGATAGCCCACTCACATCATAAGTGGGCCCATGATTAAAATAATCACGAGGGCCACTTATATGAGTGGGCTGTCGAGCTGAGTATACAGCAGGTGCTGTATACACTCAGCATCAGCATAATTCTTTCTCAAATGACCATCTTCCAAAAAATTTCTTGTCAGGCTCATGCCTCAATAAAACCCACTGCAAACATTGAATGACTTGATGACCATGAAGTTGCAAAAATTTTCTCCTTAGCTGCAGTGGCAGCCTCAACTCTTTCACTGTCAAGTTTGGCACGAGCTGCATTTGCTCTAATCCTCTCAATCTGTAACAACTTTCATCGGTGCCACAATGTTACAATCTTCATTTCGATCCTTTGCATTCATCGTTGTCATTGCATTCTTCATCAAAAACGGTATGGACTTTAAAATTTTCTCGACTTCCCTCTTTTTTATCAATTAAATTTGTATTCTTTCGGAAATTCAATAGCCCACATTTGAATGATGGAACGTTTGAACTGAATTGTCCATCACATTTGTTATGACCCTTGGGCACATATGGTCGCTAGCGTTTCATTCAACTTAAGTATGTGATAGCCTTTGACGTTTTATCCCAGTATAAGTATGAGCTTTGACTCCAGTACATGACCTTCCTATGGCATATCATTTTTGTTTTTCCCCTTCTGATTAGTCTGCAATACATAAACATAAAATCACTTAGTCGCAACACTCACATTGTTATGAAGTCAAAGTATCACTTGAGCATGGATATGGTAACAATAGTTTCGTTCTCTTCATCGCGTCAGATTACCATTTCATCGTGGGTATAACAATTGTTTCTCGTCATCTCAAATTTGTTAAATCAATATCATTTCATTTAATAATTTTGTTTCATAAACCATGTTTCTAGGTCGGAATGCTAACGTAGTAAAAATTAGGGGGTTTTTTTTGGGGGAGGGGGGGGGGGGATATACACCCCCTTGCTTTATGCTTAATTCTAGAACAAATTCTTAAGATTCAGCCCTTGACCCCAATATTTAAAACTCATTTTTTGAAAAATTCATTTTCAACATACATCTTATTAAATTCACAACTTATTAACTACACATTTCATTAACTTTTTATTAAAACTTACTAAAAATATAATATTTAACTAAACCAAACAAGGCCCCAATTTGTCCCATTTGTTATTAATACAGCAAGTTTAGTATTATGTATCAAACGCGATCATCAATATATACTTTATATAGTATTATCGGGCATTATGTATCAAGGTTAGCATAAAAGTTTTTACAACTTCATAAAATTGAATTCTTTATGTTCATCATTTCCATACAAATTCACATCTTAATTATACTTCGACGAGTGAAAATGTAATTTTTGGTTTTAAAAAGAAAATGCACTTTGAGTGGCTCGCAAGCGACTGACTCTTCCCACCAAGGGGCAAGCTAATGGGGGAACCGAGCCAAAATTTTGTCAAGCAAGCTGGCTCATGCTCGACTCACTCCATTCCCGAGCAAGAGCTAGCTCGCCATGTGGACATAGCCAAGTTCAAAGGTGAGCAAGCCAAGCGGACTCATTTAATACCCCTATTTGGGACAACATAATACAAATGACAATATCTTAACAAGCTTTTCTTCCTTAATAATGTAATGCTATTCAATCTTCGTTATGAATTATGCCAGTGTACCATTGGCAGATGTAAGATTCCATTCTTGCTTTAGTTTTATATTTAATTTTCATATTGAAATGCTGCCTGGCCTGGATGACAACTACCCATGTGAACTAAGGAACCATCTTATTGCCTAACCATTTCAAGCAGCTACATATTGACCTCTAACTGAGAATAGAAAGTCCAGTATGGAACTCAAGTTCCAAAAATACTGAACCATGTCTTGTACATTTCAGTCCTCACAAGAAAATTTAAAAAGTTAAATACTAATAACTTGCAGACATTATATCTAGTTTCTAAACAATCATTTACGAGATTGGGAGTCGGTGCTCTGTTCAGTTCCAGTCCTTTAAAGACAACAAGCTTTAAATAGAACATAAATACAGCCTAAATAACTTGAGCACGCTTGCTCAATATTAACATTTAAAAATTTAGATGACAGGAATACCGTTCATGGTAGTAAACATCATGGATGCTGGAACTCTTCGAGCCAGAATCTTTTGAAACTTCTCTTCTAATAGCCATGTTGAATTTTCTATCGAAGACATACTTGATCACCTGGAGACGGCAAACAAACTTCTTGATCATGAAGTGAGAAATGGAACTCCTACTTCAGAATCATTGCCCCCAAATGCGTGCCCTAGAAAAAAAAGCATACAAAATTATATTTAAGTACCATGAGAAAGTGAGAAAAACCATATAACTTAAAAAGAACAAACACAATGCTACACAAAACAAATGCCATAAAATTAGTGATTCGCCAAAGAAAAAAATATAACGAGTGAGAAAGATAAAAACAACATGCCCACAGACAGTAAAGAGCGAGGGTAAGAATTAACAGAACAAAACGGTCAAAGGGCTAGATCATTGTGTAATCACACATCACTTCTATACATAAGAAGACATTCATGTAAATCCCACAACAAATATCAAGTTCTGAGCTACAGAAGAATACAAGACTCCTGTGGAATGTGGATAATATTTGTTACCAAGGGATCTTGATGCTAGGCTGCTAGCAGACTTCACCCCCATCCATTTCATAGGACAACTTTCCCTAGAGTGTAGCACTAGAATATAAAGATGCACTGGAAAAGGAAAACCTCTGGTACAGAAATTGATTGCAATGGCTCTCATTGAATCTCAATGTGATTCTATGAAGTCTCAGAGCCCTCATTTGTCTCTCTCAGAAATAGCCAATAAATGGAATTTGGACGCAGAATTTTTTTATGTCCAGCTAACAAAAAGAAAGGTAGAACTAACAACTGTGTGGTCATTACACCTTATAACACATAAAAGCCCAAGAAGCACATGACAACAATGAAAAATATAATTTTTTTCTAAATATGAGGATTAAAATTAATTTAAAATAAATAAATAAACATTATTAAAATCTTTATCTACTTAAATTATTCTTCATTTTTCAACCACGCAAGCACAATCCACTTCCGGTCACCTCGAACCCGCCTTTTTATTTACCTATAAAATATTTAACATATTTGCGTGAGATAAAAATCTCGGTAAATGAGTAATAACGAATTTGCATTTCATATTTAAATACAGAAAATCATAACATACATATGGAGACACGGGAATTAAAATTCAAAACATGGCTATAATTCCAGTGCGTAGTTCTACTAAACTCCAATCCTTTGAACTTACACATAGGATCCCTTATCATAATTATGACTTGAATTTCCGAATCATCATATTCATAACATAAATTTCCGTAATTTAAATATGAAAGAATAATTCATAATACTACGTGTGGGATCGTATAAGTGTGATTATATTTAATATGAAAAGGACAAGAGAAAGATCAAGGGTGTAGACACAAAGTGATAAGATAGAGGGAGCGTGTAAATAATTGGTGAGGGGTAATCCAATGTTGAGTTTATCTCCTATTTATAGTGCAAATTCTTAGACCATGTGTCAAAAATTGAAAGGAAATGGCTAGATGTTAAGCATGATTAATGCATAATTGGTGCATTGTCTTGAAAGTTGTTAAATCAATACATTTAATCATGTAATCATATCAATTGACTTGGCTTGAAACTTGGCGTAAATAACGCATTTGGTCAAATCAATTACATTTCTTAAAATTTAATGAATAATGCATGTGGTCAAATAAATCATCTTTAATCATGGTTAATTGGCATATTTACATATATTTTACACATGATTTCATCTAACTTCCAAATCAACTCTTCACTTAAGTCAATAAGGTCCTCAAACTATTGGCTAGTAATCAATAAGGTCATTTAACTAAATCAATAACTAATAAGGTCATTAGACTTTAATAACAGCACACTTAAGTCCTAATTTTTAATCTAACGACTAGTAATAAAAATACATGTCATTACAACAGGAATTTCTTTAAAATCGAGAACTTTATAACAATACCCATGTTTCCCGAAGCGACACTTTGTTCCACTTCTTTCATTTATACTCCTAGCGCGTTACACTATATTTTTCTTTTACCTTTTATTTTCAATAAAATCGGTATCTTTTATAGTTTTAAATTTTGAAGGTAAAATCTTTTAAATCAGAGAAGTAGCCATTGAAGTCAAAATAACTTCAAGCTAAATCAAATATAACTACTGCCAAAGAAAGAAAATGCATATAGTAGAGTGTCAGAGTGTCCTTGTTATAGCATAAAAGTATTGTCTCTTAAACTACGAATGCTAATTTCTAACAAATGGAAGTGAGAAAATTCTTTTAAGTAGATCGAATTACAAATAAAGCAGGTTACTGTCAGCATATTTTTCCTAACTAATCAAATTGAAGTTTGTAATGCAATCTAAGCCTCCATTTGGTTTCATTTTCTTCTCCTAAATTTCTACTTTTCAAAATCAAACATTAATTTTAACCACACATTTTGTGGACTCACCCACAATTAATACCGACTTACTAATCACTCATTTCTTGAAAACTAGATTTTAGCAAAATAAAATGAAAACCCAAACGGAGGCTAAAATCATAGCCCTTTCTACCTGATCAAATAAAGTTCATGTTACAAGCTAAAATCATGGTGAACAACTCTGTATAATTCAATACATTTGATTCTTCGGACAGCAACTTCAACCATTAATTCTGTCTGTTTTTCTTATCCAAGTCCCCAAAACCGGGTAAAATCCCATGTCAAAAAACAATTTCAACCATTGTTGAACATGACTACTCTTTCCACTATTGGCAGATCAACAAAACTCTCCCTCTTAGAAACACGAGAATAAAATCAAGATCAATCTAGTTCCTATCCTAAAAGTAAAGCACTGTTCATTATTCATTTGGAAAAGACTACGCCTCCGTTTGGCAACCAATTTAACATACCATTTATAAATTCGATCAAAGTCAAACATTAATTTCAACCACACATTCATAACTACTAATCATTATTGTTCCCCCATTTCGCGGGATATACTACCATTCTCTTACTATTAAAATTTATAAATGACTAAATTTGCTCAATGGAAGCTACATTTTTATTCTATGTTCATTCCACAAACACAAATCACTCCTCTTATCCATTTCATTTTCACCATGGAAGCTGTTGAGCAACTATAACTTTCTTCACTAAACATAAACATTATCCATTTCATTTTCACCATGGAAGCTGTTAAGCAACTATAACTTTCTTCACTAAACATAAACATTAGTACACCAGTTCCTCTGTAGAATCAACCAATCAAAAATCCTCATTTTTACTTTATTAATGTTAGCAGCATTCTCTAACGTTTCTTTCTACTTTTTTCAATGTACACAAGCTATTCTTCCACTACCAGTGGCCTCACTCTTGCTCGCTTCACCATAAACATACCCATTACTTCTCTGTAAAACCAAATACACCACCCATGTTCTCTTTTTAGTAGTTACACATTTCCTCTTTTATAAATCTCAGGATTAAGTTTCATCATGACAAGAACTTATAAGATAGTGAATACAATGGTATCCAACACAATATGCAAATTATGGAGGTCACAGCTCTTACTACAAACCTAATGGCTACTAGTGTTATGAATATTGTTACACAAGATAAAATCATATCCCCTTGATTTAAGGAGATTAATTCCAATCCCAAACATGAATTGATTTAGGGTCACAATCCCACGAACTATGTGACACAACTGTGGCTAAAGTCTAGACTTCTAATGGTCTGTGCATGATGGAATAGCAATCAAACTTCAACATGCACGGCACTAGCCAGATCATCACCATTTACAATTTTACATTATCATAATCTTGACAAATGAATAATCTGTCTTTTGCTGGTAAATCCCTTAAATGGCTACTGGCTCTCTGCTGTTTCAGATCTAATCTTATCCCTATCCGTGAAGCTGTCTCATTTGGGCATTCCATTCTTTCGATGGCAAAATTTCTCATCCTTGTGTTCTTCGGGACTAGTTTCTGTTCCAAAGCCCATCTCCTGCGACTGGGGCTGCTTTTGCACTACCATCCTAATCGCTGTTAGTTTTATGAATACTGTTAGACAACATAAAAGCATATCTCTTGATTTAAGGGGATTAATTCCAATCCCAAGCATGAAGGGGTTTAGGGGTCATGACCCAATGAATTATGTGCCACAACTGGCAGCTAAAGTCTAGATTGCTAAACGGTGTGTGTATGATGGAAAGGCAATCAAAGTTCAACATGCACAGCTTTGATTATGAGATCATATCAGTGCCCAGATCTTCATCATTTACATCACTATAATCTCGACAAATGATAGATCTCTTCCTTTTGCTGGACAATCCCTTATACGGCGACTAGTTCTCTGCTGCTTCGGATCTCATCTCATTCCAATATTTGAAGCCTGTAAAGTTGTCAAAATCAGGGCATTTCATTGTTTCAATGGCCACATTCCCCATCCTTATTTTCTTCAGGACTAGTGGTTTCCGTTCCGCAGCCAGTCTCCTGCCATGGGGCTGCTATTGCACATCTCAATCACCCTGATGTCTCCTTTCCACAGTTGTTCTGTGATTAATCTTCTAGTCAATGTCCTACTTTTTTCTTTTGTTTGCTCTCTTGCTTTTCCCTTTTTGGCTTTTGGCTTCTCCATATCCGTACTGGTCTTTTACCTGGATTCGCTTTGCAGACAATTAATGCCTTTGTTTCTGCAGAGCAACAGAGTCATTGTTCCAGGGGTAGATTTGGAAACTAAATCTTGCCTTGTTAAAGGCCAGCCTGGTGCTATTCTGGTTGGGATAGCTGCAGATAAAGAATTTCACATTGAATTAACAAGCTACACGGAAGGAAGGTGTCCATGTAATATCCCGAATTTTTATTACTAGTCGTTAGATTAAAAATTAGGATTTAAGTGTGCTATTATTAAAGTCTAATGACCTTATTAATTACTAACCAATAGTTTGAGGGCCTAAGTGATGAATTAATTTGGAAGTTAAATAAAATTATATGTAAATATGTCAATTAACTATGATTAAAGATTATTATTTGACCACATGCATTATTCACCACATTTTAAGCAAAATAATTGCTTTGACCACATAAACTAAGGAAAATGATTAGACCACATGCATTATTCACACCAAAATTCAAGTCAAGTCAATTGATTTGATTACATGATTAAAGGAATTGATTTGACAACTTTCAAGATATGCGCCAATCATGCTTTGATTATGCCTAACATCTAACCATTTCCTTTCAATTTTCTATACATGGTCCAAGAGCTTGCACTATAAATAGAAGTTAAACTCAACATTGGATTATCCCTCACCAATTATTTACACTCTTTTTCTCTATCTCTATCACTTTGTCTCTACACCTTTACTCTTCCCCGTCTTTTTCATATTAAAATTAGTTATCCACTTACACAATCACATAACCCAGCACTCGGCTCAAGGATCTCCCTCCAACAATCACTTCTTCTATCATTTTTGAATTATCAAGTGAAATGTAAGTGTAGTAGTACGAATTGTTCTTTCATTATTTAAATTACGGAAATTTATGTTATGAATATGATGATACAAAAATTCTAGCTATGATTATGATAAGGGTCCTATATGTGTGTAAGTTCAAAGGACCGGAATTTAGTAGCGCTACGCACGGGAATTATAGCCACGAAGTTCGAATTTTAATTCTCGTGTCTCCATATGTACGTTATGATTTTTCGTAATTAAATATGAAATGAAAATTCGTTATTACTCATTTACTGAAATTTATGTCTCGCATGTATATGTTAAATATTTTATAGATAATTAAAAGAGGCGGGTTCGAGGCGATCGAAGGTGGATTGTGCTTGAGTGGATGAAAATGAGTAATGATTTAAGTAGTTAAAGATTTTTAACAATGTTTATTGTACTTTCTTTAAAATTTGTTTTAAGCCTTTCACATTCAAAAGATATTATGTTTTTTTCATTATTTATGAAAGTACTATTTTACGGTACATGTATAATGATTTCAAATGTAAAAATTTGGGTCTTTACAATCCATGTAGGGAACAATGGAGACAATCAAGAATGATGATTAGTTTAAGTGACTCCTGTGCCAGTGTAGAAAATGTACCCAAGATAGTCCCAAAAATTGCAAGTTCATCTTCCTTTACAGCAGGTGTGATCAATGAATTTTCTTTCACAATTGTTGTTCAACTGGCAATGCGTCTCAATTTCATTTTCCATTTTCTTCTCTCGTCTCTAGCTAATAAGTAATCTGGTATTTTCATCTTTATGATGGTCTTTTCATGCCTTGGACTTTGCATGAACTCGTCCTCTTTTTTCTAGCCTTTGGCGTCGTTGGATTTGGTGCATGCAACATTAAAGTATTCTTCCTTTTGCTATCAGACCTCAAACCTCTCGACTATAGCATTAGGCTACGACCATCGACTTGGCAACAAGAGCAAAGTTTCAGTCGATATTATGGCAACAAGTTTAATGGACTTCCCAATTTGAGTTAATCACTTTCCGAAATTCCAAGTGACATTGTATTGATATTCTACACTTTCTTTGATGAACTATTCATACATATCCAAACTCAAATTGGTTTCCACTATACCACAACTTGACAAGATAAAAACATATACGATTGATTAAAATCGTACAAAAGAAGATATCTAGTTGTCAGAATCCCGTGAATCACGGGATTGGTTGTCTTATTCATAGAAAGGGTATGGCAATATTTTAGATCTAACAACTAGGTTCATGTCAAACTAGTGCTACAAGAGTTACTTTGGGAAAAAAGAAAAGGAGAAAAAGGAAAAGTCAAATTAATTTGGTGTATTCTATCAATTTCAATAAAATGCAATAAACTTATGAGATGGCAATAAGAAGATACATAGGTAGAACTTATAATAGGATCTCGAAAACTAAAAGCACTTTTGTCAAATGTTTATAAACAACTTAAAAGTACAAATAGATAAAAATGAGTGGTAGGTAAGTGAATACTACTTGTGGATTCACAAAATGTGCGGATAAAAAGTAATTTGACCGATTATAAACAATTTATAAAAACTTTCCAAATGTGGTTTAAGTAATTTCTATCGGGCCCTTATCCATTTTTTTAAGTTCATTAGGATTCTTTTAGGTGGAACTTCCAATCATCCAGGTAACAATACACTATTATTTTTCCATCTCATCAATGATTTTCCCCACAAGAAATTCATGTCTTTCTACTGGGATCATATCTCTCTTTATTAGTTCCTAGTTGATGTGCAAATTTCATGGAATGTAGGTAAACCGTTATGACCAATTCAATAGAAAAGAAGAAATATTGTATTTTTTTATGTTCGAAATTTTCTCGAAAAAATATTGTAGCATATTCCTCCAATTCCTTAAAAATGATACTCCATGAATTAGAATAGAAGTTAAAGAGGGTTTTTATACTCATCACACTATCAAAAATCACGATTGAGGCCCGCCTCAGAGTTACGCAAGTAAAAAACACTTCAAAAGTTGTGAGGCAATTTTTCGGGGATGTAAACTTTAGTTGACTGAAGCACATGCCTCACAGAACCTCCTCAAGTATCGTAAAGCATGTGCTCCTAAAAACTTATTTACTTTGCATTAGGTGTGGGCTCGCAAGATATAAAAAAACCCATTTTGGAAATAACCAACTGCCTGCTAAAACATTGCAAAATTGGGTTTCTCGTAAACCTACTTTAGGAATATTCCACCAACAACAAAATTCAGTCGAGCCATCGACGATATATATGGAACAACAACAAAAGAAAACTCTTTACAGTAATTTAAAAAATATAAAACTTCACGCAACTCAATTCAATAACAAGTAACAATTTGAATTAATAGATTCAACTCATCTCATATATCAAATGATTTCAAAAGGAAGGAATTGCTCTTTTTTTTCAAGTTCAATATTTTTTAATGTTGATACTTTAGATGAAGATAAGTCATATCTCGTAAACTATTTCCTTTTTTGTCAATCGACCTTTTTTAATCCATTCTCTTGAATTCCTTAATAACCAACATTTGGTTTTCTTAAAATGATAATTGGCCAGTTTTTTTCTTGTTTGCCATTCATTTGTTTAATCATCAGATTATCTTTGCCTCAGAAGTTCTATTCCCAGAAGACATTGAAGGTAATAATCAAGCTTAATTAAGTTCTCCTACTTCAATTAGGAAATAACCTTTGAACAAGTAAAATACGTCTACTGAAATCATTTCCTGATATGAATATAATCGTGCTGCAGGACTCTTGGACCATTACAGGGAGGATCTGATCTGAGATAGCATGATATGTTGTGTTTTTCAGAAGAAGAAAATGGATAGAAGTGAATCTATATGGGAAGAAAGAATGAAAGATCAGGACGTGAACCAGAAACAAACTGTCCTAATAAATGCTATTGGCATTCTCCATTGAACTCCAATCTAATAAGCGGGCAGCAATTGCAAGATCTCAACACTTGCAGTTTCTAAAAACAATGACTGTGCATGTAGTCGTCCAAACTTAGCAAGCTCAATCCTTTCAAAATGTCAAAACAACCACAATAGTCATTTCCACAGAACCAACTATTGTTCACATTCACCTGGATAATCTCAATTGAATTACCGAAAGTTATTTTTGTACTATGGTACCAATAGACAGGGAAGCTGTAGGCATCTTTTCGTCTCAAAAGAATACCTCCATCTGAAAATGATCAGAATGTCACATTTGAATGCAGATTATAGCAAATCCCCAAGTGGCATAAAATTCTTTGGAACCACGTGTGAATATAGGTTTCAAAAAAGTAAAATATAATTGAATGAAGCTTTACCCTAGAAAATAAATAATTTTGTTTTAATTTTACTTGCTTGGCGTCAATATCAAAATAAAATAGCACTATTAGAATTTTGGAGACGATGTAATAAATTCAATAAAACCTCACCCATGCTTATTTAGGACTGGCTACATGGATCATTTTTTAACTTCACTCTATCAAGGACCATCTCATAAATTAAATCACAAATGTTCACATCTATTTTAATTCTCTCATTCCACGTAATTTGAGGTCAAATCCCTTCCTTTTTGTTTACCTTTCATACCAATCCCATTGCTTTCCCCAATGTGTGGTATTTGGCCTTCATTGAATGCACTGAAATCATCTCAATCCATTTCATTTATCACTATTTTAACCAATTCATGGACATAATCATTCTTCATCTCTCCATCTTTTAATGCCAATCCTTCTCAAAATTCACATTTAACTAAGCTCAACCTATGTTTCTAAGTTATTTGAGTGAGGATGACTGCACATTCTAGTTTCTTCACATTACCTTAAGGCCAACTTTACAACATTTCTCACTTAACTTGTTTCAAGTTTGCACAAAACATAAAACTCCCATCTAACCAAAAAAATAATAATAATAATTAAGAAATACTCATAGTAACCATTCGAGCCGACGAAATTAGTAATATTATCCGTGAACGTATTGAACAATATATGGTGCCTTAAGTGCTTATATTATTCTGAAATAGAAAGAAGTCAAACCGCCATCAGTTCTACTAGAATTTAGACAAACTTGTTACTCAACTTCATTCAACTAATCCATATGCTAAGGTGATAAAAGAAAATGGTACGTGTTTGAAGCATTTTTCCAGATGTTTCTGTCCCTTTCTCATTATAATGAGATTATGTTACATCCATGCTTGTATATCATATGATATCTGCAAGTTACGGTTTGTAGGACTGGACGATACATAACAGTGAGTTCCTTCCCTTCTTTCACAGACATAGGCCCTCCTTGAATTTCCATACAACAAAAAATCAATGAGAGATAGAATCGCTAATTCTCTCTTGCCCTTGTGTACAATCCCCAGATCTCCATAACTGCACTGCAGTTGATAAGGAATATGACATGGACTAAAAATTTTAAGTTTCCTTCCCCGTGTTACAATGTAATACACTTGATCTCTCCGAGGCAGATTCTTCTAGATTTTACACATTTAAAAGTCATTAAACTTAACAGAGAAATGATAAGATATTTCCTATACAAGTATCATGCAGAAGTTCACAGAAATTTTCACGTTCACCAACTGTAGGTTAATACATAATTCATTTACAGATTCTACAGTACCTCATATTACATGCATTTTGCATTCAAGAGTGCACAACAAACTTGTACCACAGAAAGGCCAAGAAATGTAATACTATAGCAACAATTTTATCGACCATGTAACATTCAAATACTCACCTTAAATGTCATCCATACATAGGATAATAACAATTAAGTAGCCAGTGATAAATAAATAATTAGAGAAACAACACTTACTAGTTACTAACATAAAAAGATAAATGTACATGAATAATGCCATGCCATTAATGCAATCCAGATAATTTTATGTAACAAATGCGATCAATTCAAATTTAAAGGGGAAAACTACCCGAGATTTCCAATGCCATTAACTGATTCCAGAAACTGTAACTGATGATGATGCCGACCATCCTGCTGCAGCTCAATCTGTTCCAATGGCTGCACAATATTACCCTCCAGTGCCATTGTAGCACCAGCTGCCGGAGTCCCCTTCCCCTCAACAAACCGCCACATGTACCATGCCCCAACTGACCTGTACGGCTTCCACTTCTCACACAACTGCTCCATCTGTGATGGCCTTGGCAAATCCTCCAAACTGTACAACAACTGCACACCTTTCCTAACCCCTAAATCACTCACAGGCAACACATCCGGTCGATGCAGCGAGAATATCATGAACATGTGGACTGACCAGGAACCTATCCCCTTCACCATTGAGAGCATTGTGAACAATGACCTGTCATCCATTTTCACCACTGATTCATCCGTCAAAATCCCGGAATTATACTTATTAGCAAGGTCATACAAATAGCTAGCCTTGCGCCCAGAAATCCCAATTTGCTTGAGCTGTTGCGCGGAGAGGGAAAGGACTGTGTCAGGGCGAACCGAGTCTTCACCGCCACATAGCCATGTGAAGCGCGTGTAAATCGAAGCGCCGGCCTTGTAGGCGAGTTGCTGGTAGAGAATGCTCTTGGTAAGTGCTACGAATGGGGGATGGTGGAACTCAAATTGAGGGGGCGGGTGGGTATCAATGAGCGGTACGAGCAAGGGGTCTGCAGAACGGAGGTGTCGAATGGCCAATTCAATCTCCCCATTGGCCGACAAGGGTTTGATGATCTGGGGCAGCTGTCTAGAAAATTGGGAGGCATTCCGCCGCCGGTTCTTGGTGCTAATAGTGGCAGCGGGAGCATCTGCAGTAACGGTGGAGATGCTCGATACTGAAGAGGACTCTTCGACGGCGATTTTAGGTGGAGGAGAATCTTTGTCGACGGCGGGATTAGTGTCTGTGCTGGTACTCGACAGTTTCCGGATTTTCTGAGGTCGAATTGGAATCTTAGAAGGGTTTGTGTGATTTTGGGAATTTTCCAAAAACTCGCCGGCTTCAGTGGCGATGGCGGGGTCAGTTGAGGGGGCTAGTTGCGGCGAAGATTGCGAATTGGAGTCCAAATTGGGCTCAGATTTCATGGGCCGAGGTGGAGATGGAAGTTTAGAATCTTTAGATTGGGTCTCGGGTTGTCCCCGGGTCTGCTCACCCATGTGAATGGAAGGCAATAAGGGAGATCGACTCGAATTGGTGATGGTTTTGACGATGGCGATTGCCGGCAGCGACGGTGGAGGTGAACCTTGGCGGAGTGAAAAATTTGCACAGCACTTTAAAAGGGGTGGCGAAACAAGCCAATGGGTTTGACAGGGCGCTACGAAATCTTGTAGTTGTTATTTTTGTTTTTACACCAGAGGCCCCAAATCTTTATAACATTAGCAGACTTTTTTTAAATATTTGTTTTGTTGCAATCGTCAACCCAAACTTTTATAAACGTTGCAACGGTGTCCATTTTAAACGATTTTCATCCAAATATCTGTTAATTGACTAAGAAATTTGACTTTGACTACATTTTTAATATTTCTAAAAGTGTAAATATTAACTTTTCATTTACTAAATTAAAATAAGTTAGAAATTAAATTAGAAAAAATAAGAAATAAGAATTAAAAAAACTAGTCGTTTTCTTCCACTCACCCCACCCTCCTATTCAAATAATTCCGGATCACCCCCAAATTTTTTCACCAAAAAATTCAATACCTTATTCTCAAAGAAGATAAAAACTGCATTTTGTTTCATTAATTTCTATACAGTTTTTGTTTTTATAATTTCTCATTTAATTATTCTGAAATGAGTACCAGAGAGCTGCTCAGCATTGAACCTGCGGAACTCAAATTCGCTCGTGGGTTCTTCTCCTCAAATCCCATACTTGATTTCTCCATTTAAAAAAAAAAAATTGGGTTTGTTGATTTTTCCTATTTTTGATTTATGTTTATACTTTTCTTGGTGTAATTAGTTGAGCTGAAGAAGTAGATCTCATGTTCTTTCCAAGTATTGAATAAGATCGAAAATCATGTAGCTTTCAAGGTAATTTTTTTGGGTTTTGTATTCATCAATCAATTTCTTTCTTTTTGTAAATGTATTTAATTTTCTCTGGTTGATTGAATTTCTGTTTATTAGGTGAAGATTGTTCTGAAATGAGTACCAGAGAGCTTCTCAGCATTGAACCTGTAGAACTCAAATTCTTTTTTTTTTTTTTTGGGTTTTGTATTTAACTTTTCTTTTTAATCTGAATGAGGCCGATTGTAAGATCAATGTAGTCGAGGGTATGTACAAAAGAGAACTGTGTGAGGAAGGATAGAAGACTGCGCTTTGAAGATGAGGGATTGAGCTGATTGTGAACAGCCAAGAGTTTGATACGGTGGCGTTTTCATACCCGATGATGGTGGTCAGACAGAAGATTACATTTGTTTACCTGATT